TCTGGAGCGCTTGCTGCGCTGTCGATGTCTACAATCAGATACCTTCGAAAGGGTCGCGACTGCAAAATAACGTTATCGAAACGCGATGTATCGGAGCAAAGCGGTATAGATCAAAGCACAGTGCTGTCGCTTCGTGATTAATAAATAATTAAGGGTAATAAATAAATAATTGAATGTAATTAGTAAATAATTGAGTGTAATTAATAACTGAGCTGCTGAGCGGAGTGATATAAGTTATGAGAATAAAAACAAGTAAAAATGAAATATTCATTTTTGCACGCAACTGTTTTAATAAATTGTTCTTTTTAAAATTGCAAATTGAAAAATAATACAATTAATAAAGTGTTCGATTGTTATACTTTAACGAACGTATACAAATTATATACATATAATTATATATACTACTAAATTATATACATATAAATGTTAAATTATTGTTTAAATAATTAATAAGAATTAAAAGAATTGCTTTTTAAATAATGAAAATTTTGTGCGCACTGTTTATTCCACTTAATAGCTTGACCGATCAGCAGCAAAAGGCAGAAGAAGAAAACGAGTTGTCCCTTGCAATCCTTGAAAGTCTCAAGCGATAGAAGCTTCTTTCTGTAGCTTCTTTCTGTACTTTCAAATTCGTATATAAAGAGTAGAAGATTCATATCAATCGCGTGAAATATTTTGCAGCCGTTAAACTGGAGTTTTTGGTATAGAAGATTTTCCAATTATAATTTTCACATGGATTTAATGATAAAATCTCTTCTAATTGTACTGTTTCTTTAGAATTATTAATTTATTGTTTAGCGTGAGTTGAGCGAATAATTATTTTGAATTCCGAAGGTCTAATAACTTCCAATCGAAAATTTCCTTACTTTACGTCAATCACTGCGGTATTTATATACTATATATCATTAGTGTGCGACAACGTAATGCAGCGTTCGATCTTCCGGTTCCGCATAATTTCACCGTGCACGGTGCATGCCTGCCGACAACTTGTGTCATAAATTTTGCATTCCGCCGATAATTAAGCACAGACACTGCATGACTCAGCCAGAAATCTAAAATTCGCGAGTCTGCCAACTGATATTATAACGTGACGGGTATTACAAAGGAGTTAACAATATTTTTAGTTCAATATTAATTTTTTTTAATTATTAAACTGTATCAAAATAAAATTGAATAATATTTTGTTGTAATGCCAATTGATTTTATAACGTGATACGTGAATTGTATAGAAATTCATATCACGATTAACGGCATTACATTGGAAAGCCATTCAAACACGGAGCTTATACAAATTATTTTTTTACTTGAGAGATCATATCGTAGTCATGTGTATCCGTGCAAATTTCAAGCGAACTCGCAAGCGCAAATCGCGTTGCATGCCGCGGCAAATTTCAGACTCTAAAAACCGCTGCTTCGTAAGCAGAAAGAAGCACGCGAACGCCCATGAAACTTTATGTATAAATATCAGCAAGAATGGAAAAAGAATGAAAACCACAGTGTGGCACGAGCGCTTGATTATCGTACCGAAATACATCCGGACATTTTCATTTAACAATGCAAAGTAATTTTGTTATTTGCGTTCAAATTGCCCTTAGTTTATATTTAAGTTTTCAAAAGAGAAAGTCTTCAAGGTTAAAAAAAAAAGCGAAATTAGCGTACAAAATGTACATTCCATCGCGATTATTGTCGACGATTTCATCGATTACCTTTAAATGTTCATAAATTACTGCATAATTTAGTATTATTAGTATTCAATGAAAAGATTTAAAAAATAATATAGGATAAATTACGTCTATACAAATAAAATTGCGAAATAAATCGGTTTCCCTGGAGTCATGAGAATGTAAAGCAATATTAACCGCGCGTAGACGTTCCGAAATAATTAAATTTGGTACAGGCAATTGTACCCACTCCCTACGGGCGGTTGGTAATTTATTAGGAAATCGTTACACTCTCTTGATTTTGCATATTAATATCGCGTGAACCGGCAAACAGATAATTACTGTCGAAAACCAGAAACGAATCCGATGGTAATAAATGCGACCTGCAGATCTTGGTTTTCGCTTCAAGTCGGACACCAGTATAGATATTTTACCGAGATGAATGCGTTTCTCACGAGCGCGTACAATGTAATACTTAACTCGGCGCGAGATGCATCTGCTGCCTCTCGTACATTAATCACCGTCGACCTGCCGCGGCACAGCGCGCTGCTTCCATTACGCGACTCTACGTACAAATGAACTGCCTCCGAGTGTAGTAGACGTTAGCGTTCTCGCTACCCGAGAAATTGATATCGTTTATCGAAAGCCAATTCGACTGTAGGAAACGGAAGGCATATAAAGCCCAATATTCGCGCGGAAGTCGCTCGGACGTTTAATTTTTTGAAAACCGGAGAAAGGAGGACTGCCATTAATATGAGAATGCAATTTGCATTGAAATCTGACAATGGCCGAAGCAAATTCATCGCCATTTTTAATATCCACGGACTATGGTTAATATCTACGCGTCCGTGTCCTTCGTGAATTGTCGCTCTCACCGCACTTGTTTCATTAACGGTATCTCGCGCATGAATTTACATGTAAATTAAGAACACGAAACCCCGGAAAGTTTCCGATCTCTCGTGAAAAATGTAGTTGTCGTGCAGTTTCTTTGCGTGAGGATCAGTGTGAGACGCTTCTCCTGTTCGAGATCAAAATCTACCCGCGGTATAAAAACATCGGACCGCTGCTTTATCGATCTTTCTTGTAAGTTCCCATTGTTCAATGGGCTGACTTGAGTTTCCAAACGAGAAAATAAAATGTACGCTAGAAAATATCTGCGAACTGTAAGTCGAATTACAGGAAATTTAATGGACTTAATAATTTGCTCAATATAATGAAACGAGGTAATCGATGTCTTTGATTTTACTGGGTTTTTTTTATTTTTTCTTGTCTTTTCTACTTGATATCGAAAAACCAAGGATGTCTATTTCGCCTTCGCGAATTCGATTCTTTATTCCTCTTTCTCGCTTTCTCTCTTTCTGCTTTCTCATTTCAGCGTTTTCTAAAGAATAACGACTTTCTAGTGGCAGTAAAATAAATTGGCTATCGCAAAGCCTACAGTTGCGCCTGTCGATTTCGCAGATTGATTTTAGATAAGTTCATTTATTTTTCAGCAAACGAAGATTTTTCACGAGACTTGCTTCTCATGTGTGAGAAAAAAAGTTTGCGTACATGATAAAGTTGCGGAAGATAAGAAAAGAAATGAAATATCTTTTTTTAGATAAAGAAAGCATATAATTTATTATTTTATGAGAAAAAAATTAATTACATAACAAATTAAAACAGCATAATTTAATATAATTTTAGAATTTTTTTGTTATTACATAGAGCCATATATGTAATTAATATTATATATGACACAAAGTAATAGAAATCAATAGAATTAAATAAAATGTATAAATTTGATTTAAATATATATATAAAGAATATAAAAATAACATGAAATAAATAAAGGAAAGATGATATTATTTATTATGTAAGTATTCTTTTATTTTATTAAAAACGTAAGCACTTAGTTTTAGCATGCTCGATATTTTGATGGTTTAATCGCGATTACAGTCCGACATTTGGAAGGGCTTGCACGTGATCCTCGTCTAATTTTGCAAACTTAGACTTTTCCGACCACGTGCGGAATCAATTGGGACGCATTGACTTCTCCATACGTGGCAGGAAACTTTCAATAAACGTGTGAGTACGATTGGTTGTGCAATCAGTACGTTGCATTTACGTTCACTCGGTATTTTCGAAAATTTCGTATATGTAACAGGAGCATAGTTTTGTTTGCGGCAACGCATGGATTCTTATTTACCAAAAATATTTGCGAGGCATTATACGCTTTAGCGTTTCATAAATTTCATTGATGTTTGCGTCGGGCAGACTGGCAAATATTGATTACTGAATTGAAATTCTGCATATAACGCGAGAATTCAAAGCGTGCAGTATCGTCAAACGAAACTAATTAGTGTTCCACATAGGCCAATAGTAATTGTTTATAATATAAAGCTTAAAAGTTATAAAATATTTTACAATTTTTAAGAGACCGCGGTTTTTCCTTTCTTTTTGAGTTAATTAGACAATTGATTATCGTATCTTATCTTATAGCATTGTTCGAGTTAACAATTGTTAACAAAGTATTAGGGAAAAAGTTCGTAGCGTTTTTCCCGTTACATCTAACGGAAAAAACGCCACGAACTTTTTTCCACTCCTAATATATCTTATTCTTGTCACACTCATTAAAAAGAAGAATAATTTCCAAGAAAGAAACTCGTACTTTTCTCTATTGTATGCTTAAGAAGGCATCTTTTTATAACATTGCGAAAAAAATATGTCCAGAACGTTATTAATAGTTACAAAACGTCACACGTGATGTCATAATAATATATAACATCATAAATTTTGGTGCCAAATTATTCTCATCCTGTACACATGATAACCAATTTGTATATACCTTTTTTTAAATCGCACGTTACAATCATGCACGATATGTTTCCATCGTGCATGCTTTTTATAATCGCACAATTGCACCGCTCAATTACCATCAAGCTCGTGTAGTAGCCGGTAATTACTAGCTTCGAACCGCCCTTGTACCAATTAACCACGCGGTAACCATGTGCTAACAGCGCAGTAACCGTTCAACAGGGGCCTCTACTCTTTATAGTCGGCGGACGAGTCCTCGAGAGGATCGAAGGATCATTTTCTTGTTCCTGCACCTGTGTCCATATGTTCGTGTGTGCCTGCGTGTACGTACGTATGCGTGTAAACGCGAATGCTCGTATGTATATACACGTGTGAGGATGTCGAGTAAGGATGGTCGGAAGTGCAGCCGGAAAACATACGGATTCAACGAGGGAGAATTATAGCCGAGGGATTGGAAGGACGGTCGAGGGTAGAAAGAGTGAATGAGGCCTAGAAGTCGGATTGCGACGTGGCCAGGGCACTCTCGGCCGTCTCCTCGCGTCGTCATAAGGGCTTCGTCACTTCGCCACACTCGCAATGCGTCGGGTGTCCACGACGGTCCACGCGGTTGCTGATTGAGTGGTCGCTGCAACAGAAAGGATGAATGGAATTATTAACGCAAGAAGAAAAAAAACATCATCAAAAGAAAAACCGAGTAGATTTAATCGATTGTCATCAAGATCAAGGAAAGCTTCTTACATCGCCTTTACAGATAGAAAAATATTGAAAGATTGAAGAAAGAGTTCTTACCCAGTATAACCAATTAAAAGTAACATAATATATTATAATTTTGCACTCAACAATGTAATTGTTATGTAACACCATTATATTTATATTGTTAAGTATGCAGAATTATAATATACTAATCAGGATTGAGTAGTAACTAGTTAAAACATTAAAAGTTAAAAAAAAAGTTAAAAAGTTAAACTTTTAATTTAATTTAGTTAATTTTAAATGCATTAAATTTTAACTTAACTTTTAAACATTAACTTTTTAATTTTTTTTTAAATTATAAAAAATTGTTTTATCTCTTTTAAATATCTTAGAAAAGCAATAAGATATAATAAGACTAAGGGCGTATATTCGTAATCTGTTTATATTTTAAGATCATCTTAAGTAATTTCTTAAGATGCTAATATAGCTCTCTAATTGGTTTATGCAGTTATATCTTATGCCATAAGCTTTAGTCCGGATCTATAATAGGTGTTTTAAGTTTTAAGTCATAAGAAATTGATTACAGTCAAATATTCTTCTTGCATTCGATTGTAATTGGTCAATTTCTTATGGCTTAAGACTTATTAAAAAGTAATCGCTGATCTTATACCTTCTCTCTGTGTTGGCTGTTTTTTTAAAGTTATATTACTTATATAGTTATATGTTATGTGTTATATACTTATATCACATATGAATAAAAAAATTAAAAATTTAATTTACTTAATAATCTATATTGTAGTTATTTAATCTCAATTTAAGAAAAATTAGGATATTATAATCTAAAAAATAATTTTCTTCAAAATTAACTTTTTTTTAAATTTAAGTTAATTCAATTGACTTAACTTACGTTAAGTTAATTTTTTATTCCTTCAACTTTTAACTTAACTTTATTAATTTTGTAAAGCCATTAACTTTAATTTTATTCAGTTAAAAAAAAACATTAACTTACTCAACCCTGATACTAATGTTATGTTACTTTTTAGTTGGTGTTGACTTGGTATTTATAGTAGTAGTTACAATGTAGTTACAATGTAATTAATATCACAAAATAATGTGATATTTTTTTTTATAATATTAAAAAAAAGTTGATGTTGTCGAAGTTGGTGTTAGTAATTAGCTGTGCACAAGTGAAGAAAAGAGAGAAGTGGGGAGAGAAAGTTTCTCGAGTGGCAAGCGTCGAGTACAACATAAGACAGACATAATACAAGTTATATAGATATTGTTTCTTATAAAACCTTTCTGTTTGATTCTTTTAATAAAATAGAAGATATCGGAGGAAATTTTCCATTAAATTATGGAAAAACGGTGTTGCTGTTTCTTCCAACAAGAAGGATCGTAAGTTTAATAAACTCTATTAAAACAGTTTAATGTCCATGGATTGCAAGTTGATGAAATTGCAAAATCCATTTAAATTATATTGAATTTATGGTATGCGCCAAGTGCATTTAATTTATTTTGCCGTTAACCCTTTCGGATAGAAAACTTCTATTGCATTATAGGTACGACTTTCTTATTAAGGCACTTCATTAAATCAGTCAAGATGAAATTTTTAGAAATGCAATTTGTTAGAATGTGTAACTTTAGTTTAATATTTCCTATTTCCTCTTTACTATGATAAATTTATGTAGTGAAATATCTCTTAATATCGATAACGATAAAAGCAAAAAGAATAATAAAAATTCTATTTCTTGCTTTTACATTTCAATAACATTTATTTTTGCTATCGTTAAGTGTTTTCTTTATGAATAACAAATATATTAAAACACAAAGATATGGAGAAAAGACTTTTAATTTGAAGTTCCACTGTCAACATTTTTCTATATTTTCGTTTTCTCTTTAATAAATAATATAGTTTCAAAAATTGATGAAAGAAACGCGCGTAATGAAACGATTGAAAACAATAAAGTATACAACACAGCATGGAATCCTTGATTGCACAACGACGAACTCACTTATAACGAGTGAATAATCGAGTCATTCCGCCCCATCGTTTCTTCATATATATAAGAATAGCGATAGAATGATTCGCAATATGAAAGATTTTTTCATTTTTAAAGCAAAAATGCAAATTCCAGTAATTTTAGAAATATACGTTATCCTGATGAAATAATTAGAATGAAATAAATTGAGAAATCATGAGAGCATTTCCAAGTTCTACGTCGAAATTTGTAAGCCGCTGTTGTTCATCTCTTATGTGACTCTGCGTGGGCTATACGATTATGATTAAATATGTAACTCGTATGAATGTGTATGAATGAGATATGACGTCAATGAAGCGATATATGCCAACAATATTCGCACGATGGTTTTCAATGTTATGTAACAATTATACACTTTTTTTCTGTTAGAAGCATGTTGATGCCTTTTCCAATGTTTTTCTATCTCTTGCAGTGGCTTGTAATAATTAAAAAGAACTTTTATCACTTTTATTTTTACTTTAGAATTGAGATAAAATGGAATGGTTTAATATGTACATACACATATTAAATCATATTACGAAACACCAAATTACCTGCATGTTTTCTAGATAAGATTACTTTTTAACATTATGGCAAAATATTCTCGCTGAGAATTCCACCTCCTTCTTTGCTTAAATATACTATCATAAAACGCAATAACTCTTTTATGATGACAATATATATCACTGACACACACCTAGTAAAATAATTAAAATGCTATAATGAAGGGCCGAGAAATGAAAGCGCTGCGATGTATGGCCATGCCTTAATCTTTTACGACTTCATTGTATTTTTGCCACAATGCAGCTTGCAACCTACATGAGAATTGTTACATTTTGATTCGCTTTGACGTTTTCTCCTTTGATATACATCCTATTGCTGCCGCTAGTTTCTACAGAAACCACTTCAACCCGAATTCCGCGGATTGCCTCTTCTGATTATGTGCCGCAAAGAATAGAGGATAGCCAAACCTTGGTTACAAAAGGTTCTATTGTTAAATTGAAGACTGCCGACATTCGCTCGTGCTTTAACAATCAGGCTAAAGCTTAAGAATATTGCATATTCATACGGGCTTTCCTCACACAATAGAATGACACCGTCATAAAAAATATTATCGGACATCTTAAAATTAAATTAAGATGGCTTATGATAAGCATTTATCAAGTAATTTAAAGTCTTAACATTGCCTTAAAAAGTTAATTAAACATCAATGATTTTATAAATAAGTGTAGAAGAAATTAATCAAGCAAAATATTATTAAATTTTTAATATTAAGAATTAAGAAATTCTTGAAAAGAATAATTTATTGTTTGAAAAAAGTCGGTTTGAAAGTTTTTAAAATACGTTGTTATAATCGGATCAGCTTCAATATTTCGTAGCGTAAAAATAACGTTAATAAAAAGCAATAAAGCACAGGAAAAGTGTAAAATAATTTTTGTGAAAGATTAAAACTATCCACGGCAATGTAGACCTGACGTAAAGGGTTTATAAGAGAAATAACGAAGATTAGTACGTCGAGTTAGTGGAAGAGCAGACCGAGATGACAGGGAGGGGAGGAAGCGGGATAGCAAATCGCCGTGGGTGATGAGAAAAAAAAAGAATTCTGAACGCGATATCACCATGACCTACATCGTTCCGCTGAAAAAGAGCGGTGAATACTGAGTATACTATTGTCAGGCGCAGTAGTACACCGATGGTATCGGACAACGTCGCTCACGCAGTGAGCTACGTTACTACTCAATAATGGTCCGCGACAACGCTTAGGTCAGATCGCGTGCTGATCGCGATCCGGCAAGTAGTAAGCAAGAATTTTTTAATTATTTGCTTCTTCTGTCACCTTTTCATGTTCAAACCTGTTTACGTCACTTGTCGATTCCCATAATGACATCATTTGTTTGGCGTGGAGCTTTCCATTTATAGCTTTACTTTGTGTATTACGATAATAGCAATTCAAGTGGAGTGTACACAGATGAAGAAAAAATAGAACGAGAAAAATCATATTGAGGTAAAACCGAAAAACTGAGTAACTGAGTAAGTTGTAACGATTTACTTGACATTTATATAATGAATTCCAGAGACTTTTGAATTAAACATTAAAAGAAGAAAAATAAGGAAACCGGATAAAAGTGATATCCAACTACGATAGTCTAAATCGTTCTATGACGTGACTGTCATACCAGAAGGAAATCGATAGCAGGTGAAGTACTTGTTACGTTTACGAGTGTGCAACAACGGGACTTCGATAAGATCGTCATAAAGTTCATCGCAGGCTTTAGCGCCTTATTAATTCAAACTTTCATTGTAACCAATAAAGTTACAAGTCCCTATGCGACCAGAAGTGATTTCTACCATCATGCTCGAACGCGGCGAGTTTAAAGTTTGAAGTTGTTCGTACAAATTGTACGACACAATTCGATAACTGTTTATGAATTAATGTCCTGTTCTATTTAATTTTTCAATATTTCGCAAAGTGTATAATCCTCAAATAAAAATTACATCGAGAGATAGAGATTCCAATAAAATAAATCGATAAAAATGATTTGAATATGTTATATTATTATTATTTTATATAAAATATATACTGTATATTTCTCTTTCGGTTGTATTCACAAAATTTTTGTTAAGAAATTTATTTAATTTTCATCTTTTCTCTTACAAATCTTTAAATTCGTTAATATAAAATATATATTGTAACAAAAAAAATTCATATTCTCAAGTTCATTTTTCTTTATAGAAATATTTTACTTTGAAATTAATACACGAAATTAATTTGAAAAATTTTATAATAATGGCATATATAATTATAGAGTTAATATATTAAAAAATTTTTTCATTTTTATTGGGATAATTACTTGATGTAAAACGAACTTTAAAATATATAAAAACTTCATTAAAAAAAGAGAGTTGAGATAAG